CACCCGGCGCTCCGCTCGCTGTTGTGAGCGTCGCTCCTCCGCCCTCCGTTGTTGTTGGAGGGCGACTGCCTCCAACTGCCCAGTAGCATCCTTCACGAGCCTCCTCCACAGAGGCCGATCTTGACACCGCTGGTACCAGTCATCGGCAAGTCCACTCAGCTCCACGTCCTCCTGTACCACATCACTCCATCTCTTCTCTAGCCCGTGCCGCGCCCGCTTAGCCCCCTCAATCCGGCCAAACAAAAGCTGTTTCGGCATGCGGTGGCTGGGCATGCGGGCTACATGACCCAGCCATCGCAGCCTTGCCTGCCGGAGGAGCTCACCGATGGGACCCTGCCCAGATCTTTCAAGGATTTGTGAGCTCCTCACACAATCCAGTCTGGTTAAACCGAGGATGGATCGGAGGCAGGCCAGCCTAAATGTTTCTAACCGGCGAAGATGTTCCATTAGGGGGGTCCACGTTTCGCAAGCGTAGAGAAGGGAGGGAATGACCGTGGCCGAGAAGACCTGAAGCTTAGTGCGGAGCGACAGACCAGGTAGCTTCCACACAGCGTTACGCAACCGATGAAAAGATATTGCCGCTCGACTGATTCGGAGTGAGACCTCTGCTGTTAAACTGGAGCCAGTCATAAGCACACTGCCCAGGTATGGGAAACTCTCCACTCTCTCCACAACTGCCCCATCACCGATTGGGAGTTGTGGGGGTGGAGTGTCCGATGGTACAAAATACCCAGGCAGGTGCTTAGTTTTGGTGGGGCTGATGGTAAGGCCCCACCTCTTAGTGGCACGCTCCAGTCTCAGCAGCAGCGTCTCCAACTCCTCCTCTGACTGAGCAGCTATTACCAAGTCATCAGCATACATAACGTGGTTGAGCAATAGGGAGCCATCCCTTGACCGCACCCGCGCATCGATTAGCCTCCCATTATATCTGTACCATATGGAGATTCCCCCGGTACAGCTATTGAAGGCTTCACGAACTACGTGGTCAAAATAAATGTTAAATAATGTGGGAGCCAGAGGACATCCCTGTCGCACCCCAAGGTGTACAGGGAATGGCTCTGACTCCCGGCCACGTAGTTTTACCCGGGCCCGCTCACCATCATGAAGGTCCTTAATGATCGTGAGCAGAGGGTCAGGTACTCCAAAAGCACCAAGAACGACCCAGAGCCCAGGCCTACTGATGGTATCATAGGCCTTGACCAGGTCAATAAAGCAGAGATGTAGGTCTTGTTGGAATTCCCTACACCTCTGCTGTAGCAGACGGACAGAAAATATGGCATCTGTGCAGGACCGCCCTTTCCTGAAACCGCATTGGGGCTCCGCAAGCCTCTCCTCAGCGTGCCTGGCAAGGCGATGCTGAATAATCCTTGCCAGGACCTTTCCCGGCACACTGAGGAGTGAGATGCCCCTGTAGTTGTTACAGTCTGTGCGGTCCCCCTTCTTAAAAAGGGGGACCACCAGGGCATCCTTCCAATCCTGCGGAACCCGTCCAGTGGTCCAGACTGTTGTTATGATGTCATATAGGGCAGTCTGTGCACAAACGCCACCCTCCCTCAGCATTTCGCTTGGGAGATCATCTCTGCCCGCTGCCTTTCCTGGTCTCAGACTCCGGATCGCCTTCAATACTTCCTCAGCAGATGGCACCTCAGCCAGCCACTCACAGGGGGTGACTTCATCCAATATTTGAGGCACCGCAGCCTCAGCAGGGTCATCCTCACTTTGTGCCACGATGTTTTCTTGGCTGAGGGATTTTCCCTCCCCCAGGATCTCACAGAAATGCTCAGCAAATCTGCGAACCTGTTCCTGGGGGTCGGAAATTGGATCACCGTTTTTTCCCCTAATGATGGTAATAGGTGTGGCGCTGCAGGTTACTTTTTTGATGGAGTTAAATAGAGATTTGTGATCACGGGCCACTGAGGCAGACTCCATCTCCTCAGCAACCCGCGACCACCACCCATCCTTGCAGCGCCTCACGGCTCTCCGAACCTCCGAGCGAAGGCTGCGGTAAGCCTCCTCATTCTCTGACGTGGGATTCTGTAGCCGATGACAGTGGGCCTGTCGCTTTTTCTCAACCATCGTGAACAACTCCTCTGTCATCCAGGGTGTCTGGGGAGGTCTGGACCGCGTACCCAAAGCAGCCATTGCAGCTGCATGAGTCACAGTCCTAAACCTCGCCCATTTACCCTCGACATCAGGAGGAGTCGGGGACGATGCCAATCCCAGCCGCAAGCGATGATGAAATTCTCGCTTGCAACTTTCATCAGATAACTGAGACCAGGCCACTTTAGGTTGGAATGGGGTCCTGGGTGTACACCCACCACCGGAGTGGAAGAATGGCAGGCGCATCTTACAGATGACTAGTCGATGGTCAGAGGGCAGATCAGCTCCACGGTAGGTCCTGGTGTCAAGGACATGGGCTCGCATTCGCTGGTCCGTCACTATGTAATCCAGCAGATGTTCTTGCTTGGACCCGGCATGCATCCATGATGTTGTGTGGATGCGCCGATGCCGGAACAGCGTGTTGGTAATTACAAGCCCATGGGCTGCACAAAAATCTAGCAGCCTCCTACCGTTGTTATTGAGCTGATCTGGCCCATGCCCTCCAATCACTCCAGACCAGGTGCCAGTATCATGACCAACTCGGGCATTGAAGTCACCCAACATGATGACTCTATCCCGAGGGGCCACTTTAGCCAGCACCTGTGACAGGAGGTCATAGAAGGCATCTGACTCATCGGCTTTGCCTGCATCCCTCCACGGATGTTCATCTTCGGTGGGGGCATAAGTAACCATGACCACCATTCCTCGCCTCCGGTTGATGGGAAGGCGAGCCCAAAGTAGCCTGGGGCTTACAGCTTCCCACACCTCACCGCCACGCTCCCACGCCCCCTTCATTCTTTTGTTCAAAAGAAGACCCACACCCTGTAGTTTGGCAGTCTGCTGCCCCGAGTAGAGGACTGTCCACCCCTCATGGTGGCAGGAGCCAGAGCCGGTCCACCGGACCTCCTGAATGCCGCATAGATCCAGGCGGTACCGGTCCAGCTCCCGACAGAGGAGTGGCAGCCTCTCCTCTGCAGTGAGCGTTCGAACATTCCACGTGGCCAACCGTAGTGGCTTTTCGTTGTTTCTGGAGTAGCCCCGAGGGTAGGTATTCAATCTCCTGGCTCCGCCAATTGGGGTTTGGCCAGGAGACGTCATAGACGCCTGGCGCCCCGGGGCCTCCGGCACAAGCTTAGTTGTTACATATTTCAGTTGAATTCGTAGTTTCGTGGTAATTAATTGAAGGTGGAGGGGTTACCAGCCCCTCGCACCCGTCCAGAGCCCCCGTTTAGCCCCTGTGGTGGACACATTTGCCATGAGGGGAGGAGCCAATCAAAATTGGATCTCCCCCCACAGCGCTGTCCACGACAGAGTTGCCCGTCCGGCACCGCGAGGAGGTAGGGGGTTGTTTTGCCGGACATGCGTGTACACACACACGCGTGTACACACACACGTGTACACGCACACACGTAGACACACACACGTAGACACACACACATAGACACACAACAACCGCCATTCGCCACTAAGTGGCGGTGACGTCACCACGACGCTTGTGCCAGGCCATGTGCACCTTGAGGCTGCAGTCACGGGAAGTGGGAAGGACGTCTTGGACGAGTGTGATCCTTCTACAGATGTCTCTGCATTTTTCGAAGTGATTTTTTTCTTCGGATATCTCGGGATTTTGTTTGACTCTCCAGATTTCTCAGGAGTTTCGCAGACTGTATCCAAGACATTTCAGATATAGTCTCTAGATTTACCAATATTTTTTTTTACAAAGCTCTCCGATTTTCTGCAGATTTCTCTTTGCCGTACTATCTCCAGATTTCTCGATTAACAAACAAAAAAATATTCTCAAGAATTGCCAGTTACTTTTGCATCCAGATTTCACAGATTTTCGAAAGTTAATCCACAGCTGAAAAAAAACATGTAGCAGGAACGCTTAGTAAACGTCACAACGTTTATGCTCTCGTGGGGGCTGACGCCCCGCTCCCCGTGAGAGGGCGGGATGCCCCCCCCCCCCAGCTGCTAAGCCCTTGTGTCAACACGGCGACCGCCCTCGAGTGGTTATTTATTAACTCGCTGGCAGCTGCAGAAACTCCGCAGCTGTACGGATACTCATTAGTTTGCGCTCTCGGGATAACCACCCAGTTTCAGTTTCATTTATTTGGTGTATAGCCCTGTGAGCCATTCGGCTCTTGAATCGGGTGCAACCGCAACAAACAAAAACGCGAACAAGAAAACATCTTAAAGTGACTTTGTGACTTTGTGGAAACAGAAAATCCAGGAAAAAATCCTGAAAAAGCACCGTACACCAACGCTGTGTGCAAAAATCCCATCAGTCTAACTCCGTACTACAACAAACATGGCCAAACCAAACCCACTAATTTATATCACCCACACACGGCAGTGTGCCAATCGCTGTTCCAACACTCTTCACACACACACACACGCACAACGCGTCGACCATCAATCTTGTACCAAGGTTTTATTCCCGGCGTGAATAGTGAACCCCTGTTTATGCCCCCCCCCCCCAGCGAACACTCCACGGATCTCGCCTAGCCTCTTATTTCCCACCCTTCGCGATGTGCGACTATTCTCAGGCTAGGGCTAACGGCTAACAGGGCTGAATTGAAGCAATTGGCAGGACCCCGGGGGTCTCATCACTGCCCCGGGGTGGGAAAAACCGCGTAGCGACACGAGTCTTGCCTTACCGACAGCAAAACTAGTGGTCAATCAATTGGCCTCGTTGAGAGCTACTCGGGGAACTAAGTTTCGTAAAAAGTTGAAAAATTACATAAACACGTTAAATTCACTGCGGGCGCAGGCTCGCCTTGGCATAGAAGCTGAGGATCGATGGCTGACCGGAGGGCGGACTGAAAAATAATAAATATTGACCTGATTTTTTCGGGACCCCGGGGTCACGCCAAATGAAATTGACCAACTGAACGATCACTCACCTCGCACGGTGGAAGTTGGGGAGGACGCTGGGCAGCGAAGACTCTGCCTGGGCAATGGTTCGCAGCTGCACCCAACGGGCGTCAGGCGGACGCTGAGGGCGGCTGGGATTCAGGGCGGCTCCAGGTGAACTCTGAATTCAATTTGCTCTCTCCCTCCCCTCTTATCTTCTCAAAGCCTGTTAATCCCCGGGTGACATGATGTCATCTTGCACGTCCAATCGAGTTCTTTTTACGTGTCCCACCCATCACTACCTCTTCCTACCAACCCCCCAGTTGCTAAACCTCGATCCTCCACTCTGCTCACAGACATACACACATTCTTTGTGCTTTCAAGAAACAATACCAAGATCCCCCGTGTAGCCTGCAACAGACTGCCGGGGCAAGTGCTGTTAGAGAGCACCTATGAAGGTCGGTACGGCACACGAGCCGGTTGGGTGGCCAACACCACGCCCGGCCGCCTTTGTCTCCCCAGTGGTGATGTTTACGACACACCGCACAAGGTACTCATTTGAGGCTGAGTCTATCTAAGGGAGGACCCAGGATCGGTGCAGATAATTCGTCACTGATGTTGGCGGAATCGAACTCCGGTTGCCTGGGATCGTGGCTAAGTGCGCTAACCACTGCGCCATCACTCCCCCACATGTAAATAGACAGAGGTCCCCCGTGTAACATGTAACAGACTGTAGGGGCAAATGCTGTTAGCGAGTAGCAGCAGCAATGTCTATGAAGGAGACAAAGATCCCCCGTGTAGCCTGTAACAGACTGTGGGGGCAAGTGCTGTTAGCGAGAAGCACCTATGAAGGTCGGAACGGCACACGAGGGGGGGGGGTACGTGGACAGCCTTTGTTTCACACGCACACACACACCACCACTCTGTAACGTTTGCCGGTTTGAACATTTGGCTCCGCTTTTAATGCTCCTATTATTCTTCACAGAGTCTTTGAAGAAGAGCACACGCGTGTGTGGGTGTCTGTGCGTGTGGGTGTCTGTGTGTGCCCTGTGTGTGTGTGTGCGTGTGTGTCTGTGTGTGGGGAGCGATAGTGTAGCGGTTAGCGCGCTGCGCTATGAACCTGGCGACCCGGGTTCGATTCCCGCTCACGGCCAACACCAGTGACGATTATCTGAACCGGTCCCGGGCCTCCCCTAGGTCGACTCAGCCTCAAATGAGTACCTGGTGTGGTGTGTAAACATCGCCACTAGGGAGACAAAGACGGTCGTGCGTGGTGCTGGCCACCCACCCCCTCGTGTACCGTTCCGGCCTTCATAGGTGCTCGCTAACAGCACTTGCCCCTACAGTCTGTTACAGGCTATATGGGGGATCTTTGTCTTTGTCTGTGTGTGTGTGTGGGGGGCCTTAGAAGAGCCACACCCTGTTGTTTGGCAGTCTGCTGCCCTGAGTAGAGAACTGTCCACCCCTCATGGTGGCAGGAGCCAGAACCGGTCCACCGGACCTCCTGAATGCAACAGAGATCCAGGCGGTACCGGTTCAGCTCCCGACAGAGGAGTGGCAGCTCTTCTCCGCAGTGAGTGTTCGAACATTCCACGTGGCCATCCATAGTGGCTTTTCCTTGTTTCTGGAGGAGCCCCGAGGATAGAGATTCAATCTCCTGGCTCTGCCAATTGGGGTTTGGCCAGGAGATGTCATAGACGCCTGTCCCCCCAGGGCCTCCGGCACAAGCTTATTAGTAACATATTTCAGTTTAACTCGTGGTTTAGTGGTAATTAATTGAAGGTGGAGGGGTTACCAGCCCCTCGCACCCGTCCAGAGCCCCCATTTAGCCACTGTGCTGGACACAGACGCCATGAGGGGAGGAGCCAATCGGAATTGGCCCTCCCCCCCCACAGCACTGTCCACGACAGAGTTGCCCGTCCGGCACCGCGAGGAGATAGGGGGCGTGGGAGCGTGGCGGTGAGGTGTGGGAAGCCGTAAGCCCAAGGCTACTTTGGGCTCACCTTCCCATCAACCTTAGGTGAGGAGTGGTGGTCGTGGTTAATTATGCCCCCACCGAAGACGAACATCCGTGGAGGGATGCAGGCAAAGCCGATGAGTCAGATGCCTTCTATGACCTCCTGTCACAGGTGCTGGCTAAAGCGGCACCTCGGGATAGAGTCATTATGTTGGGTGACTTCAATGCCCGAGTTGGCCATGATGCTGGCACCTGGGCTGGAGTGATTGGAGGGCATGGGCCAGATAAGCTCAATAATAATGGTAGGAGGCTGCTAGATTTTTGTGCAGCCCATGGGCTTGTAATTACCAACACGCTGTTCCGGCATCGGCGCATCCACACAACGTCATGGATGCATGCCGGGTCCAAGCAAGAACATCTGCTGGACTACATAGTGACGGACCAGCGGATGCGAGCCCATGTCCTTGACACCAGGACCGACCGTGGAGCTGATCTGCCCTCTGACCATCGATTAGTCATCTGTCAGATGCGCCTACCATTCTTCCACTCCGGTGGTGGGTGTACACCCAGGACCCCATTCCAACCTAAAGTGGTCTGGTCTCAGTTATCTGATGAAAGTTGCAAGCGAGAATTTCATCATCGCGTGTGGCTGGGATTGGCATTGTCCCCGAGTCTTCCTGATGTCGAGGGTAAATGGGCGACGTTTAGGACTGTGACTCATGCAGCTGCAATGGCTGCTTTGGGTACGCGTTCCAGACCTCCCAAGAGACCCTGGCTGACAGAGGAGGTGTTCAGGATGGTTGAGAAACAGCGACAAGCCCACTGTTATTGGCAACAGAATTCCACGTCCCTCGGAGGTTCGGAGAGCCGTGAGGCGCTGCAAGGATGGGTGGTGGTCGCGGGTTGCTGAGGAGATGAAGTCTGCCTCAGTGGCCCGCGATCACAAATCTCTATTTAACTCCATCAAAAAAGTAACCTGCAGGGCCACACCTATTACCATCATTAGGGGAAAAAACGGTGATCCAATCTCCGACCCCCAGGAACAGGTTTGTAGATTTTCTGAGCATTTCTGTGAGGTCCTGGGGGAGGGAAAATGTGGGGGCTACCGTCCCCCGCCATCACTGAATTGTCGGGGCCGTTGCCCACCGACTCCCCCGTTCCACTCATACCGCTACCCCCCGGCTGCTCTGTCAGGTCCAGACTACCGACCCCTAATGCCTCGCCCCCCTGTACCTCTGCCTGGGATGTCGACCGCGTTTGCGTAGCTTAATTAGCGGCTCGTACGCTTTACGCTCGCGATGCGCTACCCTGTTGAACGGCGGCGTGTCGCGGTGAGCGCGCTCGCAAAGTAGAACCCTGTCCTGCACGGGAATAAACAAGCGCGGCGCGCCCCCGTGGGATTCCCTCCCACCCACGCTCCACGCACTTAAGCAAAAACAAACACGCCTCGATTACTTTGCTCCGATTTAACGGGCTGTTTACACAGCTGCGTATTCGCGCACGCCAGGAGCTTAATTCGCTATTAGACAATCGCTCGAGTGCGCGCCCGCCACCCCGCCACCCCGTTACACAGGCACGCGAGCGTAAAGCGCTACTGTAGGCTATTGCGCAGGTACGCGAGCGCTGGGCACCACCGAAGATATTCGTGTAGGTACGCGCGCGCTGAACGATACTGTAAACGATCGTACAGGTACCGGCACTAAGCACGTTCTACTCCCTTATTCGCTGCAAACAGCCGCGTATGCGCGCGAACACAAAACACTCTGTACACACTCGTACCGGTATGCGAACACCAAACACTCCGTCTCCCTCCTCGCACTCACAGTGACCACGACACAGCTTTATCCTATTAGTGGTTTTATTCCCCGCGAGTATCAAACTAGACTGTGTGTGTCAGTACGGACCAGCAGGACACGTCTAACCTATCTCGCTACTGCCTGATACTTAATGGACCTGTCTGCCCTCTATTTTCTCTCCGAATTTCGTTCCTTTGTCTTACCTCTCTCCCTCGTACTTACGGTCCGACCTCGCAGCGATGGAGGTCGCGGATTGATGATGCTGTAAACAGAATCTGGCTGTTCTCTGTCTCACGGACGTGTGAGTAACAGTCAGGTGACGGCTCCTCGATCCCTCCCTCCTGTTGATCTCCAGTCAAATAAAATAAATGGCCCCGTGCTTGCCCAAAGCGTCCCTTTTTATGCTCCTTTCAAAGCCCTCGCACCACCCGTCCGCGGTGCATCACGGGTCAGGCCGTTAATCCGCGGTGCATCACGGGTCAGGCCGTTAATCCGCAGTGCATCATTGGTAGGGTCGTTAATCCGTGGTGCATCATGGGTAGAGACGCTAGCCCGCGGTGCACCATGGGTAGAGACGCTAACCCACACTGCCCTGGTCCCCACCTGTCTGCTGGTCCGTGTGTGTCCTGGGCATCTCCTCAATGCGGTTCTCAGCGAGTTCTCCGTGGTCATTAAATTCTAAGTTAAGCCACGGTGCCGCAGTGCCAGTTGGCCTGGGGGGGGGGGGGGGTGGCGGGGGAAGTGCTGTGATGGGAGCCGGGTGGCTTCTCGGTCGCAGCAGCACAGCGACGGCCCCGGTTTCGACGGAGCGGCTTCGCTGTTGTGGCACCACACACTCTCATCCCCACAGTCCACAGTTGTAATGCGAGCTTGTGATCTTTGCAGGTCTTTCTCCGGCTCAGACCACCTTGCCTTGCACATGAAGAGTGTTGTACGTGTAGAGGCGTTACGGGAGGGTGACACGCGGTTGTGTAACGGTGGCCACAAACACGTGTAGAGGTGTTACGGGAGGGTGACACGCGGTTGTGTGACGGTGGCCACAAACACGTCCACTACGGCCACCAGCCTGGGGGACTGTGGGGACGCTGTGATCACTCCCAGCCCCACCCCTCAGTGAGCGACAGTATAAAAGGTGGGACCCGGGGAACTGAGGTTTAGTTCGACTCAAGCAAGATGAAGAGCCAGTAAAGAACGAAGATCGACTAGCCAGACCCTGGAACTCCTTTGGCCCGCTGCCCTTCTGAGGGCCGGGCAAGGCAAGCCAGGGTGTGACCCCAGAGCCAAGAGGGCCGATGTCCTTCTGAGGGCCGGACTCGTGTGGCTGGTGGTCGGGACCTGCACCGAAGCTGGGCCAGGTCAGACAGCCTCCCGGGAGAGGACCAGGATAGAGGGAACCAGGGAGCTAGCGTGGGCTAA